CCCCCCCCTCGGATGGCAGCCTGCGTCAAGTGCAGCCGGGCTGATGGCCAAGTGCTGTGATGTACCGAGTGTGGGCACTCAGGGCACTCCAAGCCAGGACTGCTTGGCAAGCGGGAAACCCCTGAGAACTGTCTGTCCAGGGTGGGGGCCGGGTCCCTTTAAGCACAGCCCTTGGCTAGCCTGAGACAGCAGCTCCACGCTTCTGGCCATCCTTAACCCCTGTTCAGGGTCCACTCAATGTGGACATGCTAGTTCGAATTAGCAAAATGCTAATTCAAACTAGTTTTTAGGTCTAGATGCGTTAGTTCGAATTAGCTTAGTTCGAATTAACTAATTCGAATTAAGTTAGTTCGTATTAGTGCTGTAGTGTAGACATACCCCTAGGGATGGAGATTCCACCACCTCCCTAGGTAACACATTCCAGTGCTACACCCCCCTCCTAGGGAAACAATTTCTCCTAATATCCAACCTAGACCTCCTCCACTGTAACTTGAGACCATTGCTCCTCGTTCTGCCATCCGTCACTACTGAACAGCCTCTCTCCATCCTCTTCGGAACCTCCCTTCAGGTAGCTGAAGGCTGCCATCAAATCCTACCTCGCTCTTCTCTTCTGTAAACTAAATTTGTCCAAATACCTCAGCCTCCCCTTGTAGGTCATGAGCTTCAGCCCCCTAATAATTTTTGTTGCCCTCCGCTGGACTCTCTCCAAACCTTTCCCTAATGGGGATCCCAAAATTGGAATTAACACATCACATGTGGCATTACAAGTGCTAAATTAAGAGGAATAATCACTTCCCTACATCCACTGGCAATACTCCTACCAATGCAGCCCAATATGCCATTAGCTTTTTTGGCTCAAGGGCCCACTATTGACTCATATCCAACTTCACATCCACTGTAATCCCCAGGTCCTTTTCTATTCAACTACTGCTTAGTCAATCAGTCCCCAGCCTGTAACAGTGCTTGGGATTCTTCTGTCCCAAGTGCAGGACTCTACACTTGTCCTTGTTGAACCTCATTAGATTTCTTTTGGACCAACCCTGTAATTTGTCTAGGTCACTCTGGACCCTATCCTTGCCCTCCAGCGTAGCTACCTCTCCCCCTAGCTTAGTGTCATCTGTGAACTTGCTGAGGATGCAATCCATCCCCTCCTCCAAGTCATTAATAAAGATGTTGAACAAAACCAGCCCCAGAACCGATCCTTGGGGCATTCCACTGGATACCGACCGCCAACATCCCCCCCACATCAGGAACTACTCTTGTGAGAAGGGGTTTGCCACAGGGTCTCTTCTTTGCCTTAAAGGCTACCACTAGCCACATGCCCAACAATCTCTCACTCTTAAAAAAAGGTCAAGATCATTGCCCCCATTTTATAGATGGAAAAACTGAGGCACCAGGAAGGGAGGGGACTTGTCCAATGGCACAAATCGGAAAGCAAGCACTAGAGCCCTGGTCTCCATACAGAGCTCTATCCACCAGGCCACACTGCCTGCCACCTGAGGCGCTATGTTGGAGTAGGAAGCGCTTTACCTGATGCCTGGTACTGTCCACTGCCGTGAGGAAGAGGAAGTCAGCCAGGAAGAGGCAGAGGCAGAGCTGCAGGTGGATGGAGGTGTTGACGTTGCGGATGGAGCGGCACAGGAGGAAGGTGAGGATGGCGAGGAGGAGGCACAGCAGGGAGAGGGCCAGCCCGATGTGGGAGATGAGGTATAGAGGGAAACCTGCCTGTTGGGGAGGCAGAGCACATAGAATGTAAGGAGGTCACGAGTTGTCAAGGCTCCTTCCCCACTCTCGCATGATAAATGAAGAATTAGGGGCCCGCAACAGTACCCCAAAACCTTATCTTTCCAGGCTTTGGTTTAAAACTTCCCTCTAAAATCTTAAGAACCTAGATTTTGGGGATAAAAATCCACTGCCACCGCCCAAGTAATGATAAGAAAACCAGAGAAGAGATCACTTGGGAAATTTCAGCTCTACAGTAAAACCAGGACACAAAACTTAACCAATACCAGGTTAATAAAAAGGAGGAGAAAGACCTTTTATCATCACCACAATACTCCTGTCACAAGCATAATGACTGGATGGAAAAGTCACCAATTGATATACTCATGGGGAGTTTCACCACGGGCCAAAACTTAGTTACAAAGGAGAGAAAACCCCATTTTTAAATGCACAGACATCAGATTCCCTTTCCCAAAGCATAAAGCCTAATGGCTATATCTAAACTTTACCCTACTTACAGATAGTGAAGAGTCAGAATCTGGAGAGAAACTACCCAGGCACAAAGGAGGGAAAAACCAAAAATTCCTTTGTCCCAGTTTGAAATTCCTACCTGCATTCCTATTGGCTGAGCAAATACCTGGCTAGGTAAAGTTAACCCCTTAGTACCCAGGCTGCTCCTTATCCCTCATGATTATGACGCGAGTCATCCCATGCAGCACAGTTAATGCAGATGAGGTGCTGCAGATAATCCCCCTGATTCCTGCCCAGGATGGACTGTCACTGCCCTTACTGGGGAGCGCAGGCTGAGGTGTGAATAACTCTACAGGGGCCTTTGTTTTAACCATGGGGCTCTGGGAGCCGAGAGGATTCCATCAGGACCTTCCTTAGGATTTATGGGCCCTGGCCAGGACTATCAAACTGGTGCCCTAAACCCCGACAACAGCCGGGGGATGATTTTTTACAGATGTGATTTTATGACCTTCAGCAACACGAATGAAACAGGTTTAAAGCAAATTTTAAACTAAGGTCCCCTCCACTAACACAGTGAAATCAGAAACTGACAGGATGAACCTGGGGCTGGCAAATGCCTGTTCAATGGCTTCATTAGCACCCGAATGGCTCTCACAGGATCAATGTTCTACTAATAGCTCTGGCAGGCTTGTTCACTTTTAAGTTAAGGGGATCCTCTCTGGAGGAAGCAGAGCCACAGACCAGAGATAGGAAGAGGTGGGTGGGTGGACATAAAGACCCAATTTTCAGGTGCCCGATGCAACTGCATATTGATAAGGATGGCCCTGAGTGGCAGAATACTCATGTGCCATAGTAGGTGACCCAGGCTTGAGGGACACCTTGGATGTTTGCTCCTCAGACTTATGTTGACTTCCCACATCATGGCAGCAGAAGCAAGCAAAGGGGGGGGGGGAGGGGGATTAAGACCCAGTGGTGCCTCAAAGTTTCAGATGCCTTATGCTGCTATGTGTTCTGTGTATGGGTAAGGACGGCCCTTGGTACCATGCCATAAGGAGCCACCTGTGAGCAGCCCAGAATGTCCATCTCCATTGCCCATCAGTGTGTTCTCACATCAGCCCCTTTGCACTTTCTCCATGTCGGGGGGGGGTGTCTCCCCATACACACCCCCAGAGCTACCACCAGAGTGGGTTGATTTAAATCCAGGCGATTTAAATCACCAAAAAAGTCATTTATTTAAACAAATTTCCCACTGATACTTCCTCACATATTTCTTCAAGCAATGGTGCAAATCTGATCACTAGAATATGTTCATTCACAACTCAGTAAAGCATTTTACAACCTCTAATTGACTTTGTTCCAGAGTCAGTGATGTTCCAAACTAAGAGGCCTAAACTGTTATAAAAGGGGAGGTATCGGTCATACCGTTTGTCAGAGAACACTTGAGAATACACTGGAAGACTTGAGAAGTTTCTAGAACATTTCAGAATGAGAAAACTACTGGGCTAAAATCCTGTTCCCTGAAGTTCTTTTGCCAGGCACCCCCACCCCACTGTCCATGGGGCTCAGCCCTGTTCCCAGGTGGCCCCACCCCACAGCACTGCATCTGCTTAATGATCCCCACCCAGCCAGGGCTCCATACAGGTAGCTGCCTAGCTGGGGGAGGGGCTTTTCTCCCACCAACAACTCTCTGCTGGGGACAGAGCAGTGAATCCATCTGAGCTGCTAGGGAGGGGACGTGTCCCTATCTCGCTGCTCTGTCCCTCCCTCAGCCAGGCAGCTGCGTGCAGGGAGTCCTGAGTCCCTGCCTGGGTGGGGCTCATTAAGCAGCTGCAGGGTCTTGCGGCCATGCAGCTTGGAGGGAACCTTGCCCTGCTACCACCTTGACTTCCTTGGGTATGTCTACACTTGCAGCATATTTCGGAATAGGGCTGTAAATGTATGCATTCGGAATTGCAAATCAAGCCCGGGATTTAAATACTTTTTGATATTTACAAGCACTTTGATATTTATCTACACTTGCAGCATATTTTGGAATAGGGCTGTAAATGTATGCATTCGGAATTGCAAATCAAGCCCGGGATTTAAATTTCCTGTGCTTGATTTGCATCTTCCTGGCCGGTTGCCATTTTTTAAAATTTACAAGCCCAAAGTAACTGCCTGTATCTACATGTGGCAGGGCAACGGTGGTTTGAAATAAAGCCCTATTCCGAAATACCTGTTATTCCTCCTGCAATGAGGTTTAAGAGGTATTTCAGAATAGGCCTTTATTTCGAACCGCCGTTGCCCTGCCGCATGAAGATGCAGGCAGTTACTTTGGGCTTGTAAATTTTAAAAAATGGCAACCGGCCAGGAAGATGCAAATCAAGCACAGGAAATTTAAATCCCGGGCTTGATTTGCAATTCCGAATGCATACATTTGCAGCCCTATTCTGAAATATGCTGCAAGTGTAGACCTACCCCTTCAGACTTTGCTAAGAGGATGCCTGGCTCCCCCAGCAAAGCCCGCAGCCTCATGTTGCAAGCCCTGGGGTGAGCACCGTCCCGTTACCGTTATCTCCCCCCATGCCATGAGGACGGCCAGGCTGGAGACGTGGTCGCAGTTGCACGTAGTGTGGGTGGCGTTAGAGCGCAGGACCCTGCATCCTGCCGGAGACCAGCTGCCATTCTGGGCTGTGCTTTCCCACGAGACACAGGTGGGCTTCTCGGAGGGGTTGCTTGGCTATAAATATACAAGTCAAAGGCAGAAGGAATAACACAGGATTGGAAAAAAACACAGTGCCAGGAGCATGGGTCAGGGTTTCCCATGTGGTGAGAGGCAGACAGGCAGAGGCTGGGGACGGGGTACACATGCACCTCCTACTCTGGGAGTCCTCATTTCAGGAACAGGCATGCTATGGAGGAGGAAGCTGCTCTGTGCGCTGTTACTCCCCTTCCGCAGCTGGGGAAGACCACCGCAGTGACGTGCTTCTCCTGGGGCTTTCCCCCACTGCTCCCATAGCAGCGGGGTCAGTGCCTGGGGGCACCATGGGACATGGAGCCATACGTGTCCCTGGGAGAGGGGTGCCAAGTAAGCACCTGACCCCCATCCCAGTCACACCCAGACCCCACAGCACCCTCTCTGGCCTGGCAAAATCTTTAATCTGGCATGCCCCGTTTCCCAGGGTTGCAGGATATAAGAAGTTCAAGTGTATTGGGTTGGGACTCAGGATACTTGGGTTTTAGTCCTGGCTCTGCCACTGGCTTTGACTGAGACATTCATTTGCTCTGTGCCTCGGTTTCCCCTGTCTCTAAACAAACTCTAGGTCTACACTACAGCAGTCCACTTCCCTTACTCCTCACGAGAAGTAGGAGCTCCGGTACTGACGGGGGTACCCTCAGTATTCGATTTAGCAGGTTTTTACTAGGACCCCTCAAACAAACACCAGAAGATCAACTGCCGCAGCATTGATCTTCTCCATAGTCTAGTCATGGCCTAAGCTCTTGGTGACAAGGGCTGTCTCGTGCGATGGGCCAAGCTTGCCACAAGGGGGCGCTGATTTCACCAAGTGCATTAGCATCAATCCCTAATAGAAGAACAGAAAAGCCCTTTATCACCCTACCACGGACAGTGGGCCAGAGGACACCTATGGAGTGAGTTGTAAGGGCGAAGCGCTCCAGCGTAATAATTCATTTCTTCTCTCAGCACCCGTGGCAGGCGGGCCCGGTATTAACGCTCTCATTTTACAAGTGGGGAAACTGAGACATGGAGTGTGTGTGTGTGTGTGGGTAGATGATGGTCATTCAGCAAAATCAGGAGTAGAAGCCAAGTCCCCCACTAGTGCTCTATCCACTAGGACACACTGTCTGCCCTGTGTTCCTCTTTGCTCACTTCTCCTGCTTCCCAAATCCAGGAACTGGACATTTATGAGTCTTCTCCTGAGCCTTGGTTAATGGAGGTGGCCCTTTAACGGCTAAAGCTGAGTCAGACTTCCAGCTCCAGAGATCCTGCATTCACATTCCCCCAGGGAAGCATCATGCTTGGAGGGAGAACAGGAATCCCTCCCCACCGGTGAGCTAATTCAATGCCACTTCCTTCCCTCCCCACCGGTGAGCTAATTCAATGCCACTTCCTCCCCAGAGGAGCCAGGCTGCTCCTGAAAATCCAGGCTCAACCCCAGCGGCCGCTCGTGGAGGGACTTACCATGATGTGCTGGAAGGTGTAGTTCACTGGATCTGTGAAGTTGGTCTTGGTCTGGCTGGTCAGCCAGGCACTCACCACCCTGGAAATCATCCGGACAAAGTGGCCAGAGATGGCATTCTCTTCGTGGAAGAAGCTGCCGTTCATGATGGTTTCCATGCCTGTGTAGGAGGCAAACGCCACTCCGGCCGTGCCTGCAAGTGTCCCCAACGAGAAACCCGGTGGGTTGCAGCTTCTTTCCCCACGTTCCTCCATGGAACTTGCCAAACTGTGCAAAACTGCCCCTCGGTGGGAGCCCACCCCACCTCACCCCAAACAGGGTCGCTGAGAAATGCCCATTGGTGGCAATGAGGTACCTTGTGCCGTTGATCCCTGAACCGTTTTGCAGCTAATCTCCATGCTCTCCTCTTTGGCTCCCAGGCTGACGACAGAGTCCTCCCTGCTGCAGCCGTCCCTGATGACTTTGGTCTGGACATCTAAGGAGAGGGGGGAAAAGCACAGTCTGATAAGCACAATGGCTCCTTAGACTGGGGCCATCGGCCAGAGCAGCAGGGGGATGGCGGAGATAGAAGGAACCATCCAGCTAAGAGAGTAAGAGGTTTTGTGTCATAGGAAAGAGACAGGGAGAAAGTTTCATGGGGGTACTGGACTACACCCCCCAAGGGCATTAGGAACAAGGGGGATTGGGGAGCTGTAGATGGGGGTAGGGGATGGGGCCTGGCTTGAGAATGGGAACTGCACCCTTCTGCACATGCTGGATGGAGACCCGAGAGCTTGGGTCAGGGGGACGACACTGTGGTTCAGGGAATCGCCTGGGTTACAGGGAATCCCAGCTGAGCTGCCAGGTCCACCACAGATGTCATGTTTGACCTTGGGCAGTCACTGCAACTCCCTGCCTCAGTTTCCCCCTCTGTCAAATGGGGATAACAAGCCTCCCTTTCATTGAATCCTAGAACACCAGAACTGGAAGGGAACTCAGGAGGTTATCAAGTCCAGGCCTCTGCCCTCACGGCAGGACCAACCGCTGTTTAGGCCCTAGATCATCCCTGACAGGCGTCTGTCTAACCTGACCGTAAATATTTCCAATTAAGAAGATTCCACAATCTCTCCAGGAAATTTATTCCGGTGTTAAACACCTTGACAGTCAGGAAGTTTTTCCTAATGTCCAACCTAAACCTCCCTTGCTGCAATTTAAGCCCATTGATTTTTGGCCTGTCCTCAGAGGCCAAGCAGAACAATTTTTCTCCCTTCTCCTTGTAACACCCTTTTAGATACTTGACAACTGCTATTGTGTCCCCTCTCAGTCTTCTCTTTTCCAAACTAAACAAGCCCAGTGCCCTCAAAGGTCACGTTTCTTGACCTTAAATCATTTTTGTTGCTCTCCAATTTCTACACATCTTTCTTGAAATGTGGTGTCAAGATCAGGACACAACACTCCAATTGAGGACTAATCAGTGCAAAGAAGAGCGGAAGAATGACTTCTTGTGTCTCTCTCACAACACTCCTGTTAATAGAGCCCAGAATCACATTTGCTTGTTTTGCAACGGTGTCACACATATTATTGACTCGTGTTAAACTTGTTGTCCACTATGATCCCTAAACCCCTTTCTGCCGTACTCCTTCCTAGACAGTCAATTCCCATTCTGTATGTGTGAAACTAATTGTTCCTCTCTACCTGGAGTACTCTGCATTTGTCCTTATTAAACTTCATCCTGTTTACCACAGACCATTTGTCTTTGGTTACACTGTAAGGGTGTGTCTACACTGCACCATTGTTTCAAGATAAGAATGTGAGCTCTACACAGCCATTCCGTTATTTTGAAATAATTTCAAAATAACAAATGGCTTATTCTGAAATCTGTAAACCTTATTCTACTAGCCAATTAGCCCGTCATAAGCCAGGATTTTCAGGTCTCTCCTCCACATTGGTCTTCTTCCCTGAGCCTCTGGTCTCTCGCTCTGTCTCTCTCTCTCTCTCTCCTCCTCTTACTGCCTTCCCCCCCCCCCCCCCCGCC